TTTAAATGCACAGTCAAGACATTCACAAATGCACCCGGCTGGAGAACCTCACTGAGAGAGATAATGGGAGGGAAACTCCGCTAGTAAACTTTCAGGTCAGTATAATTCGCATACAGTGGGCACACCACTATCAGATTTAACAGGCATTAGTTACGCACCATTGGCTACAGCAGTTGTTGCGATGTGAAACCACAAAATCAAACAGCAAATTTATACTATGTACAATTGAAATCTAGAACTGCAACGAAAGAACTTTATTATTTGTCAATTTATTATTAAACCTTGAGTTTAAAAGTGCGGTAAAACTGACAAAGTACAAGTTCGTAATATAAGCAATTTGTAGTACGCTAGGGCAATACCTCTCAAACCAAGAAAGGTTAAAAAACATTAAAACAAGATAATTATTGTTTACATTCAAATGATATTTAGGATTCTAGAAAGATAAGGTTGTACTTTTAATGTCTTTTAAATTGTGGACATCTGGTTCTGCTGCGCTAATTCAACGACTTAAAACCAAGTTACTATATACACAAGAATGCATATAAACTATTCAAACAATCGCTTTTAGTAATTTAACCATATTTTCAGTTCTAACTGTCGTGCCAACTTTAGTATGCGCTCCTTGAACTAATCTGGTATAATATAATATGTCTTAAGTTGAATCTTCATTGGCATCTAGTGTTAAGCATGTTTCATATTCGTTTAAACAGAATTAATGATAGTGGATTATTTACATGAACTTCAAGTTTGTGTGATTTGGAATAGATCGTTTGCTCTTAATTTATGACCGATGTAATTCCGAATTAGAGAAACCTCCGGAAACACTAACATTAACAGATGTCTGAGCAGTTTTTTCTTTATCAAAGGTTTCACACCACAAGTCAGATGATATACAATTTAATATTTTATAATTAAATAAATTTACAATGTTACACCAAAATGAAAAATTTCACACAATTCTGACTCGAGATAAGTTATAAATTTCACATTTTGAACTACAATTAAAATTTTGAATCATTCTTTTGAACACATTAATAAAAATTATGACTTTCGCACCAGGTAGTTAAATTATTTTGAGAAATTTCTTGTCGCTTTTGTCGATTTAATGTTTTAAAGTACGCTAATAACTATAAAAAATGACCTATCTCTGGTTCAAAATGAGAAAATTACTACATTAGTTTTCCTCGAAAACATTTTGAAATTAAACAACATGAATTCGTTACATTAATCTGCTCTCTTAATAGTTTACGATTTATAACATTGTTAGTTCGTCCTTTAAAAACTGCCAAGTATCGATACACGTTTCTGCGCAGACTTACTAACAAATTTAAGTCAAAAATTAATGTCTATTCAGAAACTACTTTTACAAGTAACTGCGAATAGTTTAAATATAATCAATATTTTTAATTATTTTCTGCATATTCTTAATTATATTAACTATATTCACAAGGTTTACTTAGTACAAGACCAAGCATTTTTTGAAAACTACGCCTTTTTTAAATGCTCTTACATTGATACGTGATAGTCAATTCATTCCTACAGACGAAGCTCATAATCATTGTTGTTTACAATGACTTTTTATGAATATTTTGGTGCATCGAAAAAAATATTATCATGGTTGTAAATAAACACATTAATGCTAAGTGCTTTGCAAATAACCTCTAGTGAACATAGTTCTGGGCTTGTACACACATGACAAACACAGGTATTAGGTGGTGGGGTGAGAAAAACCGGGCAGGAAGACCATCGATGAAACTTATTTTCGTTAAAGCTAAAGTTCTCCGAAGGCGCCGACGAGAGTCAACGTATTGAAATCTGAAAGAAATTCCTAATGCCAAACGGAGCAAAATCAGAAAGAGGCAAGCCCGCAAGTGTATGCGTACGAGCAGTCACTGGATACTCTTCTGCACCTTGGCTTAGTTGCACAAATGTCTCTTAGACTGCAAATCATATGTTACTACTGCAGACAGTCAAAGTGGTGTTGGGGGGGCGGGGGGGGTAAGCAATTATGGGTCTTGACACCAATCTGCTTGCATTATTAAACTGTATAATGCTACAAAATTGAGGTAAAAACTCGTTCGATTCGAACATAATGCCGCTTGATGCAAAAAAAGATGGCGTCGCTTTCGGCGCTACCTTTCTTTCATAAGTGTATATATCAATGAATAAATGATATTTTAGAGATAACACATATCAATTTAACTTTTTATAATTTATTTCAAAATCTTTCATATTAATTGGATTGTTGGTGAAGTAGATACCTTTTTATTTTGATAAATAAATGAAGATATTTCAGGTATCATAATTTAATTCAACTAATGATATTTCGATCGCGTAGCAATTCATTCTCAGATTAAAACAATACAAATATACAAATGTGAAATATAACAGGTGGTTATTCGTACATACGTTTATGTAACGATCCAGTTGCTTACGCATATCTTGTATACAATAACAACTGTTAAATATTTCACATTGTATATTGTATTGTTTTTAGCTCTGAGACGATGATCAGCTACGTGATCGAAATTATCATTAGTTTGAATTACAATATGATACCTGACAATCATTCTATTATCGAAATCATTCATAATCAAGTGTATTCAGTATTTCGTTGACAAATGTTCTATGTGAACGTTGGCGCGCTTACTAGCAGCTGTATCCTGCGACACTAGCTCATCCTATACGTTAGCAAAGCCTCTGCATTTTTGTCCCCAATTTGATGAGAGTTGCCGGGTCCTTTGTAAGTACTTGGTTGTTCTCGGCTGATGGGTCGCGCGCCAGGCTTCAGCGCCGTCCGCAACGGCACGAGGCCGCACGCAGGCGCCAGCGTGGCCGCATCGGAGTTGAGCAACATCCCTCACCGATGCCTTACCGAGTTTACGGCAGCGCTCTATCACTTGCCATGCCAACTTGGATCTGCAACTACGAATATAATAATTTTACTAAAACAGCACTCCATTAATCAACCGACTGCTTTCTAGTAGATATTACTATATTCGGAAGGGGAATATTGTTTCCTCCGAAAAATTCAGCTGTTAATATTACTGTTTTAAGAGTGTCTTCTTGGAAGTTTTGTCAAATTAATCCTACTTTAACTGTTTGAACTAAAATAGTAAAACAGGTTCAAAAATACTTCAAAAATTTATTTCTTATTCTCTGTTGAAAGGACTGGCAGCATGGCGCAATATTCAAAGAAATTCCGTATAAAAATTTTCGCTAAACTTAATTTCCATTCACTATTAGAATCGTTGCGGAGATGTTCGATTTTTTACACTTTCACTTTCAATCGAAGTTATTTCTGCTTAATACCGATCTCTAGTAATAAACAAATATCTGCATAGATTTTACTATGTTTTCCCCCCCCAATGTTACTGACCCTCTCAAATTCCAAAACAGTCTGCACAAACAAAAAGTTTTGGCACTGTTTTTGGATCAATGCAACACTATTATGTACATTAAAACAATTTGCTTTAATACCTAAAAAAAACAATCTCAGATTGTTGCTGCACCGTTTAAAATTATTTAATTTGAAATATTTTGTTTTATGCCAATTTGTCTTAATGACTATTCAACTTTTACTAAATATCAGCACAAGTCCGAGTACAACTGTTCAAAATATTAGTGATCTTTTTTTCAACACTGACTAATTAAACCCCACCCACACCCTAACATTTCCCCTTTTTACAACTCAATGCAAAATTGTTCATTGCAAATGTCCTCTTAAAAAAACGTACAACTGCTGTATTTAAAATGTTTGATCGGTGTTGCAGACAAACTCAATTGTCATTAGTCAGCTTGGCATAGTGAAAGTTTTCTCTTAGGACGGAGACGGATCCCCCCTCCCTGTTGGTGAACCACACATCGGTGCGGCGATTTCAGACTTCTCTCAAATAGTTTGGCCAGTTATTTCTCTACATTTTAACCTAGTCTTTCAACACGAGTTATTGTGTAGTGCATGAATGCAGTATTTTTGGGGGGGGGGATCAAGAAAGAGTAGGAAGAGAAAGCGGCGGTTAGCTGATCTTAAGATTACAACCGCATTCGCCTGGTGACTGGAACTGTGATAGTGTACCCGGCGTAGAATTCTTCCTGCAGACTTCTTTATACTAGCCAACATTTTCGCATTATAATATTTTTGTGGAATGTATTTAATCATGCGTTCGAAATGCAGTGCTATAGAATTAAAATTATATTGGTAGCTGGAATTCTTGACTGATTCAGTTTCTTATAAATATTAACTCCGCTTTTATGATATTCATGCATGGCTGTGGTCTGCACTAAAAAGATCGACGAAAAGATTGTCTGCGAATATGTTCTCCTCCATTTTTGTTTACTATTCACAAGAGAAAAAATTGTTTCTCATTTAACTTTCATTTTCTGTACTGCTCCATAAAGCCATTACTTAGACCTCGCGTTTATTACAGTAATTTCGCTATGTTAACTGCATAGTTTGATGTTATGAGCTCTGAGTGTTCTCTCTTTGAACAATCTTGACCACAAAACACAATTTTTTAATTTCCGTTAATTCTACTGAAGCAAAGCATGTTCAATATGAAAAACTAATTGCGACGGCTTGCCTAAGACAACTCGTATCATCTCACTTTCACAAGAACTACCACGGACGGCATTTCCCAACCCACAAAAAGATTACCCCGATTTCATTATCTTCACTGTATATTTAGGGAAGCACAAATTTTGTTGTGCATCTACTGTTTCGGTTTATATTTTGAAAAAAATACTTCCATGTAGTCGACTGAGCAATTAGATTACTCGTTAATTGATTTAACCGTTCCATATTTTACGAATAACAAAAATTTCAACTAACCAGGGAAACGTTTAGCCAAAATTGACAGCAAATGTTTGACAATATTACTACAAAATTATTTATACTGAAACTAACGTTTTCTATTTTAGAAATTTGTGACCTTATCGCGTCTAGTGAAACCACTCACGAAGCGCCATAGCATCCATACAAGCCACGAAAGCAATCAACACACCGCAAACACCAATTAACAACCCGTCCAAAGCAACCACACCAAACACCAATTGCAACAAAACCCCAACAACTGCAGTTCCATTGCGAGCAAATGTACCAACCCCAACAACTGCATCCCATGCGAGCAAAGTAACCAAACCCAACAACTGCAATCCATCGAGCAAGTAACCAAAACCCAACAACACTGCATCCCGCATGCGACCAGTACAAACCCAAACACTGCATCCGCATGCAAAGTAACAAACACCAACAACTGCTCCCATGCGAGCAGTACCCAACCCAACAACTGCATACCCATGCGAGCAAATAAACCAAACCGCCAACTGCATCATGCGGACAAGTAAGTAACCACAAACCCCAACAACTGCAATCCATCGAGGCAAGAGAACCCAAACCACAAAACTGCATCCATGCGACAAGTACAAACCCCAACAACTGCCTCCCTCGAGCAGTTAACCAAGCCACAACTGAGTTCCGAGACGGACAAATACCAAACGCCCAACAACTGGCATCCATGCGAGCAAGTACCAAAACGGGAGAGTGCCCAACAACTGCATCCCATCGAGCAATAACCACAACCCAACAAAACTGCATCCATGCGAGCAAAGTAACCAACCCAACAACAATGAATCCCATGCGAAGCAAGTAACTCAAAAACCCCAACAACTGCACTCCCGCATGCGAGCAAGTAACCAAACCCAAACATCACATCACGGTCCAAGTAAGTAAGCAAAATGAAATTTTCGCTTGCATGAGCTGCAAACTCAATTCTAATCCATTGAAGTAATCGACCGTAAGTACAACCTAAGGAATTTGAACGACGTTAAATTTCGAAACAATCACATTTTTACTACCGACTTGCAAAAATGTAGGATCACATCTGGAAAATTTAATTTTTGAAATCTCATCCTCTCCAACATTGAAGGATCAGTTTATGAAAACTGACTAGTTAGAAACCAAACTGTTTATGAAATCCATCGGAATTTAAATCTTTTGAAGATAAAACTAAATAGAAGGCATCGATACGTTCGTTTTTCGACATTGCCAAAGAAGCGAACCATGAAATATTTGTCACGAATTGTGAAGGGTTGCTTTGTTACAGGTTTGTGCTATGTGATCTTACAAGAAGTTATAAGATCTGAAAAAATCTGCAACGAGTTACATTTCTCACAATTTAGAGCAGTTTTCAAAAAGTGTGAAACCGAGGGAAATTTCTCAAATTAAGGTTGACCGACAAACAAGACCTACTTTTCATTTTAATCTATAGTCTAAAAAGAAACTAGACTAATCACATGTCGAACAATTAATAGGAAAAGTGGAACTTGTTGAATTTTGCCCATGACCACTGAACTTTAATAATTTCCCAGCCTGGTCCTAGCATTCTATGGAAAGGGTAAGGAACTACGTCAGTAGGAAGTGGTTGATCCGGATTTGTGCTACTTGTTCGTTACCACCGATAACCTGCAACCAAAATAAAAATATATCTATAGTTAGAGGGGAAAATACTTTAATAAATTTACTAGTTTTGCTTAATAATTTTATTCTCAATATTTTAATTCATTTCACTGAAATAGAATGTTTATACATTGTGATAATTTTATAATTCGCAACATCTCGAATGTTCTCTATTAATTTGCTTTTATTATTCGGTGTGTTAGCAGTCACCTCGCATTCTTTACGTTTTATTTCTTCACACTCCAATAAATTTAGAGTACAAATCCAATATTTTTAGAGTACAAATTACACTCGTCTGCACCCTTCGTATCTGAATAAGAAATCTGAAGGTTGCCGACCATTTCAAGTTAAACTTTTCGACCAATAGCATCTGAAACAAAAGAAGTATCAGCACAAGCATCTGTTGCTCACAAATTCTATACATTCTTTATGTTAAATAGTAGGTAATTATTTTCTAGCGCAATAATAAGAACCTCAATTTGACTTTGATTTTTACTTTATGAAAAGTTTAAAATTTTTAAAGCTAATCTATACTTACACCGAAAATAAGTAGCAATGTAGAAGTCTGAAAAAGTGAAAAAATTAAGCTGAAAAAGAAAAATTAGAGCTGAAAAAGAAAAAATAGAGCTGAAAAAGAAAAATACGAGCTGAACAAGAAAAATAGAGGCTGAAAAGAAAAAATAGAGCTGAAAAACGAAAAAATAGAGCTGAAAAGAGAAAAATAGAGCTGAAGAAGAAAAAATAGAGCTGAAAAAGACAAATAGAGCTTGAAAAAGACAATTAGAGCTGAAAAAGAACAAATAGAGCTGAAAAAGACAAATAGAGCTGAAAAAGACCAATTAGAGCTGAAAAGAAAATTAGAGCTGAAAAGAAAAATTAGGCTGAAAAAAGAAAAATTAGAGCTGAAAAAGACAAAATAGAGCTGAAAAAAAAAATTTAAGAGAATGAAAAAGGAAAATTAGAGCTGAAAAAGAAAATGTAAGCTGAAAAGAAAAATAGAGCTGAAAAAGAAAAAATTAGAGCTGAAAAAGAAAAATGTAGAGCTGAAACAGAAAAATAATGCTAAAGATAGAGCTGAAAAAGAAAAATTAGGCTGAAAAAGAATTGAAAAAGAAATTAAGAGCTGAAAAAAAAATTAGAGCTGAAAAAGAAAAATTAGAGCTGAAAAAAAAAATTAGAGCCTGAAAAGAACAAATTAGCTGAAAAAGAAAAATTAGAGCTGAAAAAGAAAAATTAGAGCTGAAAAATAAACTAATTCAACTTAGGAACGAGTACTTAAGGACTTATTATTCGGTCTAATTGTTTATTTGATAAATTTATAGGAAAGTTTGATGGATAATGTAGTGCAATTCATATCGCAATGAAAGAATACGCATTTTTGCCATGTAAATAGGTGGACTAAAACTTAATTTTGTCACCTACGTGACAATTTTGCCACGTCTTACGTGGACTTAACGTCCTGAAAGAAAAATATATGTAATTCCATTAGCTAGTGAAAAAAGGTTTCAAACCTTACAAACAAATTTCCACCCTGTTTTAAGTGTGCTGTCCGCCAACTAGAAGTTTCCCACTAAAGGACGACTGAACTATGGGCAGACGTTCAGTTTTCCTTCAGATAGGACGGCGTATTCCAATTTCATAAAGTTTTCTTAATTAAACTTGCTCGAAGCAAGAAAAACTTTATTATAGTCGCGAACTACTTCGAGAAGCAGTTAGCGCTCAAAACAGAATTGGAACACTCCTTAGCACTTAACCTACCCACCCTGCCCTGTGAGCCTTGCAGGCGTGTCCCTCCTACAACGCCAGTTGAGCTGGATAACCTTCGCTCGTGAACGACGACCTAGACTACTGTTCAGAGGAAGGTTGCCAGCCATTCATATCGACGCAAAATTCGAGGTGCAATGCATCTCTGAACTCAGTAAGGTTCCCACCCAGTCAAATTCCCCTCTCAATTTCTCTATGGCGGAATGCATGCCAAGTGCAATAGCGGTAATCCAACAGGAGCGGATCGCTAATTGGCTAAACAAACCGCCTTAATATTACTAGCCAGGTGCTGCAGTCTTCCTATATTTGCCCATCCTAATCCAACAAGATTACTATTTTATATTTTTTAAACAACATACTGTACATTTGAATGAAGAATTTTAAATGTAAATCAAATGAAAAATTACTGATGTGCACATTTAATTGAATAAATTTAAAGAAAATTGCTTCAAATTATAAATATTAAAAATAAATATTTAGTGTTATGTTTAAATAAGTACAATCAAATTGACTAGCTATACTGAACTAATCTCTTATTGCTTTACATTTACCATTTCCAATATAATCAATTTAAGTTTATTTCTTTAAACACGACTGCAGTAACCCAGCAATATACACTTATTAAAATAAAGGCGGACCGATACCCCTTCTAAGATTATCTGAGCGGAGCCAATGACTGCACGAGGAAGAATTAACCCTCCCAAACTACATTTGAGTGCAATGTACTGCGAAGAAACGGTGTTCCGTGTGACTAGGCCTGTGTCATCCGCCGTGCAGCCATAAGACAAGGAACGCAGACACCTTGGCCTCCCTTAGGGCTTCCGCGGTCGCTGCGAAGGGCACAGGGCAGAGGACCGGGCAATGGGGGCGGGCTCCACTCAGAACACTCACCGAATCCAGATTCCATCGACGTCAGGCCCAGCGTTGCTCCTCTTCTGCCAGGGGTGCTATGCTACCCTGCCCTGTGCTTGGAACCTACACTACCCTATACTAGGCGTTTTATCATTTACGTTATCGCTCAAATTGGAAATAATTCGCTTCAAAATATTTATGAAGTAAATATACTTTTATTAAGTAACCTAGTGAAATTATTAATGTATCCTAACATTACGATGTTGAAACTATAGGATATATACTTTGTTGTATTTTAAAATTTGTTTAAATATATTCCTGCACACTTTACATGCACTAGCTAAATTCAGACCGAAAAAAGTTACGTAATTCAAAGTAATGCTGTAATTAGGCTCATCTATTTTATATTTTATATTAGTTTCAATTAAGGGTAACCTGGAAGTAGTTTTGCACCTACTGAAATGTTGGAAAATTTATTCATTACCTACATTTTTATGAAATATTGCTCGCATAGCAAAGGAAGGTTGAATGACCTTTGGAAGTTTCCTTCACGACTATTCGACATTGTATGAAGTAAAAAGTAGCACATCTGAAAATTTTAACTAAATTATCCCTAACCACCTGGCGGGAAAAAGGAAAATTTAGGAACGATGCGAAGCGGTGCGGTGGAGACTAAGGTTACAGTTGATCAGTTAAATGAAGCACAAGAAGTCACCACACCAACGGTTCTGAAGCAAGGTCACCGAAGCACCAACGGTCTCCGAAGCACATTCACAAATCACAATTTCCTGCTTCATTTTGAGCCCGACCTCATGCACATCTAACAATTTATCGCACTTCTTTAGAGCCCACTTTTCACTTCACAGCACTTTTTGAACTTGAAACTATGGGAGTTGACTCAAACTCCATTGCACCACACAATTGAGTAAAAACTCTCGTCACAGATCTACACAAATGCTGCTCGTTTGCAATTTTCACTGAATTTTTCACAAATTTTTGCCTAATTTAAATCACTCAAATTTTCTGAAATCAAGGATTTAATTTCAGACAATTACTCAACACACGCATTTGATAAAAAATAACTTTTGGTAACCGAGGTAAAATAACTACCCCGTCTTTTCAAACTATTACAGACGCCTATTTCACATATCACTCATTCCTAATCAAGGAATCACTAGCTAATCCAACACTTTCCAAGAAAATTGAGATGCTGAACTACACTTCCAATTACGAGTTAACATTCTAAAGCAGAATGCGACGAAGAAAAAACCGGCCACATTTCTTTGAACCGAACCATAGAATCATAACTTCACCTCTCGCGACTCGCCTTCAAGTGAGCGAGCTATCGGTAGGTTTTGAGGAGCTCGTCATAGCACGGACGGCCATTGCAGCTGTGATTGGCTACTGCTTTCCAAAGAAGGAACACATTCATAACTGCGATAAAAATGCAGAATTTAGAAATAGTTGTATGAAGATAATGATAATATCTAATATTACTTAACGCAAATTAATGAGTCAAAGTATTTTAAATCGAAATACAAATTTGTAGGGTTCTATTTCAGAAAGGCTTATGTAACTACTACGAGGAGGTAATGTACCTACTTCCAGGATAGGCAAAGAACTTATCAAGAATGACTAAAAGCCGCAATACGTTTTAGCAAATGAGATATAATGTATAATAGTAATTAAATATTAATTGTATTAATAATGTAATAATATAACACTAAAATGTAATTGATCTCAACTACAGCTGGTCATTTCTTGTAAAACAAGTTCTTCCGACGTCTGAAAATCAAAGTAGACATTGTTTGTAATAGTTTAGACAATGAAAACATTGGAAAACGATTCAACTAATTCGTTCAAACAATTCAACTGAAAGATAAAGTAGTGGTGCTACAACAGAACATACGTAATCATAATAATTGTAACGATTACGTAATTAGATCTGTGCCGTTAATGCAATGGTTTAAGCCTTGAAATATACGCAAATATGTCACAGAAATGTTACATATTTCCCAAGAAACTTGTAAGATATACGCATTTGGTTACAAATTCTGAATTTTTCAAAAGCATTTATGTCTACGTGTTACCTACAAAAACAGGGAAAAGGCAAATTAAAAACAAATTCTATACTTATTCAAAATTTATTTTCTAACAGGAACATAGAAAGTCACAAAAATTTTGTTTAAGTTTTCTGTTATTTGGGTGTGACTCGTATCGGATAATATCATCTTGTAATTAGAAAAAATATATTTCCACGTCACATCAGACAAAATATTTTGTATCTTTGGTGCTTATTTGGCAAAGTTCTGCTACATTCTCTGGCAGGTCGATTCTCTAGGTTCACGGTTTTCTATTATTTGGGTCGATCTCGTATCAGGCATATAATT